GTTTAAAATGATTTCTTCGATAAGAATAAAATTATTTTATTCTAAAAGTATTGTCAGTTTTGTCTTTTTTAAGCTTTCACAAATATTTTATACAATTTCTAAATTTTTACACAAAATTAAACGAAAGCTTTTTATTTTTAAATTACAACCTGCTTTTTAAAAATTTATGGTACAAAAAGCTTTCAAGGATATTTGGATAGGCTTTTCTAAAAATTAAATATGTAAGCTTTCATTCTGCAAAGTTAGTTAGATTTTTCATGATGTAAGCTTTCACGGCACAAGCAAAAAAAACATTAATCTTGAAATAAAGTTGGTTACTGGTTTTAAATGGAACTTTGAAAGCTCTGAAAGCTATTTTTATTTATATTTAATTTTTTTATTTATATTTCTTTTAACGAGGAAATATAGTAAGAAAGCTTTCATGGATATATTATACCATATTTAATAATTAATTTAATAAAATTATATTTTATAATCAGCATTTTAAATACACATGTATGAATTACGTTCCATATTACTATATGTGCTTTTTGTTATTGTTCAAGTAGTTAGTTGTAATTGTATATTCATAGCTAAGTACTATTCAAATTTATGAAATTTGGTATCTTGTTACTTATTAAATTATATACAAGTATATAATTATATTACGTTCAACGAAGCTTGCAAATAGGGCTGAAAGTTTTTCAAACAAGCTTCGATGGTGTAGTAATTTCCAAATAACTACCTAAAATTAATCTAACCTAATGAGTACCACGCTATTTTATCAAAACCTTTAAAAGAAAAAACTTAAAGCTGTTTAAAGCACTTTATTACATCCATATCATCCTTGCTTTGACATTGAGTAGCTTTGGTAATATTATAATTGGTAGAAAGAGGAGCGCAGCTGATTTCAGCTTCTATTTTCATCTTTTATAAAGTCACCAAAGTTTTTGAAAAATGGAATTGGGAATTGAGAAATGGAAATATTGTCAAATATTTGAAACTGACTGTTTTGTTCAATACGACCTCATATCAAGGATATTATCAGAACAATTTCCAACATGTATTTGAACCAATACTCTCATCTTTTTAAATAGATTGGACATTCAATGAATCTTTAGCATGAGCTTTTCGAAACTTTAGTTGAAATTTAAAGTTTACTAAATTTAAATATACCACTTCCTTGGTCTCTGGAAATCTCAAACTCTAAATAAATAAATTTTTACTTTAGACTTTCAATAGAACTTTGGCACGAGCTTTTCAAAGCTTTTGTGGTAGTTCAAAGCTTATAAAGTTTTATAATTCTATTTTCTTGCTATCTGTCAATCTCAAACACTAAAAAATTAAGCTAAAGAACAATGCACCGAAGTTATAAAATTCGGGCAGTATTGCAAATTAGGGAGAAAAAATCATCGAAAAAGGTAAAGGAAGGGCAGAAAACGATACTGAAACTCCCTCACTCCTGTTTTCTCAAATGAGGAAAAAAGTTTTTCAATTATTTATTTTATTTATACCCAACCCCAAAATTTCTTCCTCGAAATTCAAAAACCATTTATCAAAGCTCAATTCATGTTTCTGGAAAGCTAACCAAATAATATTTATAATAAAAGAAGTCAAATAAAGGACATACCGAACCTAAGAGCTTAAATTTGATTAGTTAGTTTCCTTTCCGACCTGGTAATTACTCAAAATTTGTCTGTTAATTCATATCAAGACAGACAACCATTAAAATGTAAAGTGAATTACAAAAATATTTTCAATACACAGAAAGATTTTTAAGAATTGAAAATTTAACTCCAAATTTTATAGTAAAATTCACTTCTACAAAAATACTTATGAATTTATTGTAGTCATAGATATTAATAGTTTCTTAAAGTTGACAAAACATTCAAAAGCAGTAGCTATCATAGTCCATTTAAAAAATATTGTAGAAAAACTTATTTATTTAAGAAAAAAGAAAAGTAAGTAGTTTTTGTAGACCAAACCAACCAATTTATTTAGTTCAACCCTTACCCCATGAAAACAACGCCACAATCACCAAGCGATTTAAAGTATTTTGAGTTAATCCAAGAGCTGAACAAAGCTTTTACGCATAGGCTTAATCTTGAAAATAAAGAGCTTTCATAGGGACTAACACAAATGCAATTGAAAATGCTTACTTATATTTTTTTATTTTACAGCAGCTTTTAAAACCATAAGTGTCTGAAAGAGCAATATTTTATACAGTTGTATTGTTTTCACCGCCAAAACAATTTAGTAAATAATTACCAAACGTAGAATAACAACCTGTAAAAGCTAAATTTCCCGTAGTGTGTCCCTAGCTTTCGCAAAATTTTCATTAAAAAAACTTTGAAAGCACAAGAAGCAAAAGTGAAACATTTTTCCACAAAAAAAAATGCAAAATCATTAACTTTTCATTTTCATACAAAAATAAACACAAACTAATAAATTTAATTGAAATTGAAAAAGAGTACAAATAATACAACAAAAAGCTCCACTCCCAAATCCCTACCGTTAAAGCAAGCTTCCTCACTCCAACACTCATAATCCTGCAGCAAAACACAAAATCAGTGAAAGTTACGCTGAAAAGTAGACTAACCAACACTGAGGAAAACAACACACTCACTCTCATGCGCGCACGCACACCAGAGACTCACACGCAGGCAAACGCTTACCACACACACACATATAAAAACATAGTAATATACATTTATACAGAACTTGAATAATGAAAAGCGAAAATCTAAAGTTTGGCCGTGGCGTGGTAAATATGAAAATAATGACAAAAAAAACAAAACCAAATGTAGTGAAATATTTTTTTACTAGTGAAATTAGTTGTAGTTCTTTGAATGTTAGCGCAAAAGCTCGTTAGAAAAGCTATGCAAGTTTTACTAACAATTTCCTCACCCAACCACATTTTGTGCCCATTGAAATAAAAATGAAAAAACCCTTAAGAAAATTTAAAAAATATTTAAACGTTTGCTTTATTTTTATTTAAACAAAATTTCAAAAAATTCCAAAAATATTAATGAAAATTTTTAAAACTAGAAATAATTAATAATAAAAAAAAGTTACAAGAAACAGAGAAAAATTTATAACTTTCATTATAAAATTAATATAAGAAAATTTATTTAAGAAAATTAAAAGAAAAATTTAAAAAAAAAATTTTAAGAATTTAAAAATATATATATTAGAAATAAAAAAATATTAGAAATGAAAAAAATGTTAAATACTTTTAACTTGAATTAAAAAACAAAAATATTAGAGAAAAACATAAACAGATTTTTTTGTAATTGTTTCATTTAAATAAATGTTTAAAATTCATTAAAATATGCTAAAAGCATTATTTGTAAATAAAAAGGTTTTAAAATTTAATTAGACCTTTCATAATTGGCAATACTGTAATTGGCAGAGCGTGCTCTCTCTCTCTCTTCTCCAACACATTAAGTAAGCTCAGCTGCCAACTTCAGCCAATATTTGCGTTTAGCCCACACTTTACTTATTAGCCATCAATGAGCTAGACTATATTACTTTTACACTCTCTCCTTCTCTCCCCCTGTATGTTGTTATATCTTGCTTGCTCTTTAACGAAATAGTTGCCTTGAATTTTTCATAGATTGTTTTAAAAAGATCTAATACTTAAATTAACTGTAGAAAACTCATGGCAGCGTGCTTCACACGCTGTTTTCATACTCTATTCCCTCTATTTTAGCGTTAAGATGTGCCACTGTACCACTCTTGCTCTCTCACACTCTCTCAGCGTTTATTCTTTAGCGCTTTTCCAATTTAACAGTCTAGCTCAGCAACTTCTCATTATTTTTCCTAAGATCTGCCTTAGATATTCACTCTCTCTCAGTCACTCTTGCTTTTAGCATTCCAGTAGTTATCGTTAATTAGTCAGTTTGGTTCGTTTAGCAACAATAACTGTTCATATATTAAATTTAGTTAAGGATTTGTGTATTAAAACTCTCCTACTAGCTGCCTGTGTTAGTAACTGTTTCTCTCTCTCGCTCTTTCACACTCTTTCTCTCTGACAAACTATATACATATCTCTCTCTCTAACGCTATCTCTCTCCTCCAACTGATTAGTAAACAAACACAAAATTATTGAATGAATTAATTGTTTGAAACAATGAAAGTCTATTAATGCAACTTTTTATGTTTCAAATTCTTTTCTCGTTAATTAATTCAATGATTAATTGATTGAGTAATTGTTTAAATAGTGAAACAATTGTACGTTATATTTATATATATTCACTAAATTCAATTGTATGATAAATTGTTTAAAAAAAAGTTATTGTAATAAATAAAAAACAACAACAATATTGTAAATTTGTAAAAAAAATTAATCAATTAAATTGCATTCAATTCGCTTTTCGATTTTTAATCGATAAATTTTTATCTTTTTTTCTTCTTTTTTAAATTAATTTCAACTTGGATTTTTGCGTTTACACAAAATAAATCGTACGCAATCGAAATCGAATCGTTAACCAAATCAAAATGTAACGAAATCAAAATTTTAAAAATTTCAAAAAAAATATTTGAAAAAATTTTCAAACTTATAAAATAAATATCGTTTACACAAACAACCACCAAACAAACGTCTATTGCAAAATCGTATACAAAAAAATGCATCGTATCGAAACGCATCATAAACGTAAATTTTCGTACAAAAACAAAACAAATGCATCTGAAAACCAATGCAATGCGCTAATTAATATGCTAATGCCAATGCTAATATGCCCATACGCCAATCACGCAATTGCAATTCCAAAAAAAAAACATTTGAATTTTTTTATACAATTTCCACAAAAATAAAATTTGCAACTTATTTTTGCAACACAAATTAAATTACCAAAAAAAATAAATTTTAATGAAATAACAAACACAAATCAAAATCACAAAAATTAAATTGCAAATCCAAAAAAAAATTGCACACTACAATTAATCGATAAATAAATCAATAAAAAAAATAAATAAACTCTAAATAAAATCAAATGCACACTATGTCAATGACAAAGATGATGTTCCAGGCAAGGTGGACGAGAAGGCGACCCAGCTTCATGCGATCGCCTCGCTCAAGGTACTGCTCGATGCAACGAAACCGCAACGCGGCGGCGCCACCACATCGGCTGCCAATCATGTCAAGATCAATTTGAAGGAGACCACATTGGCCGATCGACCCAATGGCAACATTGACACGACACTGGACTCGGTAAGTGGCAATTGTTTTGTTCCAATGTCAATTTACAACACTTTTCCATATAAATATTTATATTCTTATTATTATTAAATTTATGTGCGTATTTAGTAAAAAAAAAATTAGTAATTATTCAGTAATGTATTTGAAGCTGATACAGTATATAGTAGGCATATTTTTAGTTAGTATTGCGTTTAATTAACATGAGTTAGCATACTTTTGGGCAGTGTTGGAACAAAATTGCAGTGAAAATAGAATAAAATTGTAGTGAAAATGGCAGAAAACTGCTGTATGCACGCGTCTATTGTGGTTTAAAATCAAAACCTGTAAATAGAGATAAATATTTCTATTAATTTTTATTATTTTTATTTATTAATATCTATGCAAAGAAAAATACTAAATATTTTATATTTCACTAATGTTATCGTTGGACCGCCAAAAAGCAGTTTTTTAATGTTGTATATGACAACCATTTAGGCGTCAGTTATTATAAAAATACTTTTAGCGATCGAAAGTATATTTTCCGGTTATCAGATACATTTTTCAACTATAACTTTATTTAAACCTCAATTTAATCTACTCTGATTCTTTGAGGCGCTGACCAACCAAATCCTAAGGTTATATTACACAAAACCTCTAAAAAGACCGATGAGGCAGAATACTAGATTAGTTTAAATTTAATCAAAGGAAGTTTCCTATCTCAACACAGTTTTTGGGCCAATAAAACCCTTATCATTTCGACGAGTAAAGAATCTACGCCAAATGAGTTCGTTCGAAGACTAATAGCACAAACAGTCACCAACATTCCTCCGTTCCGTACTTGCCACTCGTATCAAAACAAATTTGTCAAAAGTTATGCCCATAGTTGCAACGCAGAAATCAGTTGTTCTCTGTTGTTTTCATTTCACCAATGTTGCCATTGTTCTATATGTATACACGAATTTTCACTCATTTCGTTTTTTAGTTATAATTTTTCATAATGTAAAAGCTCACAACTAAAATCCAACTATTAACAAGTAAGGAAGGGCTAAGTTCGGATGTAACCGAACATTTTATACTCTCGCAAAGTCAAATGGTATACTCGTTTGAGATTTCTTTGTAGATTGACTGATATTTTCGGTAGAAGGTCAACTTAAGGCACTGGGGTCCACATATTTAGTACTTAGGGGTTTGAACAGTTTTGGTTCGATTTAGACAATTTTTGGCCGCAAGGTGGCATACTTTAATTGCATTATTCAAGCAAAGTTTTACCCTGATATAATCATTGTTACCTGATTTGCATAGTGGAAAGTGAAAGAATCAGATGGAATTGAAAATGGTGTTACATGGGAAGTAAGCGTGGTTGTAGTCCGATTTCACCCATTTTCGCACTATGACATAGAAACATGAAAAGAATGTCATGCGCCGAATTTGGTTGAAATCGGTTGAGCAGATCTCAAGATATGGGTTTTCACCTAAAAGTGGGCTGTGCCACGCCCACTGACTAATTTTGAACGCGGTTCCTATAAAGCCAATTTATACCATCTCAGAGATAAAATTTAATGTCTCTGGCGTGTTTAGTGCTTGATTTATCGCGCTTTTAGTAGTTTTTAACAGTACCGTTATATGGGGAGTGGGCGGAGTTGCCACCCGATTTCAACTATTTTCACACCGTCAATAGAAGTGCTAAAAACATTTGCTTCTAGTGAATTTTGTTATTATAGCATTAGCGGTTTAGGAGATATGCACATTGAACCTATTAGGGGCGGGACCACGCCCACTATAAAAAAAAAGTTAACTGCAGATGCCCCTCCCTATTGTGATCTTGTGTACCAAATAACAGTCTTGTATCTTGTTGTGGAGCTTAGTTGTGGCAATTTATTTGTTTTTGAATAATGGCGTTTTGTGGGCGTAGCAGTGGTCCGATTACGCCCATCTGCAATACAACCCGTCTCACGGTATCAAGAAACATGTCTTCCAAGTTTCATAACGATATATCAATTTTTACTCAAGTTAGAGCTTGCACGGACGGACGGACAGACAGTCACCCGGATTTCAACTCGTCTCTTTATCCTGATCATTTATATATACATAACCCTATATCTAACTCGATTAGTTTTAGGTGATACAAACAACCGTTAGGTGAACAAAACTATTATACTCTGTAGCAACAGGTTGCAAGAGTATAAAAATAGTTTACCTATTTATAAATAAAGAATATTTTAAATATATTCAAGTTTATTGTTTAATTGCTACAAAATATCGAGATCGGCAACCCTGCGTTGCAAGAGATTGCTCTCAAACTCTCAGCACACTAGTTTCTACGGAAAAAATTCAATTTTCGTAGATATCCTACCATACGGTCTGTTGAAGCGGTGGTGACTGTTCATTTACATTGCGCTCTCATAAGATAGGTCGTATCAGCTGATTTGGTCCACGGGTATTGCGTCGGTGACTGTTTGCGCCATAAGACGGAGTGTAAGATTAAGACTCTTTCTTCAGAAAGTACCATTTCTAAGTTCCACGAAGTACCTAAGGAGCTAGTTACTGCTCCTATCGAGAGTCCATTCATTAGTCTGTAGCACTTCGAAAACTTTACGAGGTTTAAGTACCCAACGAATGCGCATCATCTCCTCGGTAGTGTCCCTTTCCGTTTCTCTTTTCTCTTGAATAATTTTTATACCCGTTTTCTTTCTCTCCTTCACATTCATGAGTCTCCTCTAACAAATATTTTATAAATTTTAATATTCTTCAACGCTTACAAGATGTTTTCAATTTATCTGCTTTAAAACCCGACTTCTTCTTTAAATCATATAATAGAAGGCATTTAGCTGATAGAGTGTCTCAAGTTCCCTGCGATGCGTATCGGTTATGGTAGCTGTAAGTATATATTTACTTTTCCTGGACCTATTTAATAAGTGCTGAGTTTTTGTCTTGTCATATTTTGGCCATATCTGCTTCGATATTTTGCATTTGGTTATAGATTTCCATCTGTTCGAAACTATTTGTTCAAATTGCGTAGTTAGCCCCCCCCCCCTTGATCGTTCCTAGCCGGGGCGGTTTTGTCTCTGCCTCAGATTCGTCTAAAGAAGCTCCTAGCTTAGCCAACTTGTCTGCTTTTTTGTTTGGTGTCTTTGCTAGAATTAATAAGTGGCGTCGATAAGCCCAGCAATGCCGCCTGGCTATCCATGTATATGGTTGCTTTCGTACTCTCCCATAGTTATTCAATTCAAGCCTTCTCTATTCCTATTACATCCCCTTGGAAGATGCTGGTTAAGTTTGGTAGCCGGATGGAGAGAAAGAGAGATTTACTAAACCTCTTCTTCATTTACGTTTACAGGGTATCCACACCTAAAAGTATGCCTTAATAGCCCGGTAACCCCTGCACAGGCTGCTCTCTGTATTCCATTTAATTTCCTGATATTATATAACTCTTGATATTTTCGTGATGAACTCAACCGAGCTCTTGCTCTTAACCAGAAATTTAAAACAACTCTCGCGGAGCAGCATATCAAGTGCTGCGCCTAGTAGAATGCTTAAAATATATTTGTGTTCAATGCCTAACGTTGAAATTTTACTGCATTATGTGTTACAGTGTATTTTCAAAAAAATTATTCCATGCCTTCCGTTGCAATTTTATCACATTATTTGTTATACTATATTTTCAAAAAAATTATCTACGGTTTATGCAAATGAAATAAACATTTTAAACCGCAATTTCTTCCCTGCACACCCAAAAGTATGCTGTAAACTTAATATCTCTTATGAGTACTCAATTTTTCTATAAAAACAATATTTCTAAAACTATTGCGTTATGAAGTAAAAAAATAAGGCTAACAATTTCATCATTTATGGCATAAAACCTAAGTATTTACATAAAAGCATAAAAAAATGTCTCCCATTTTCTTAGGTAATTAGACGCCCATACGTAAAGTCACACACTATCCGTTGCATCTATTAACTCTACATACAATTTATTTTCCGACGCTAGTCTACTTTTAATTCTCCATAAGCGTATTTTCATTTCTTTATTTCACAAGTGATTTTGTTTTCTGCTGTCTGTTTTAAATGTATGTTTAGTTCTATGCGTCAAATGCATTTGTTAAAAACAATTTATTAGTAAAAAGAAAGAAAACATTTTTTTTTTTAAATTACGAATGTAAAACATTTTTTGTAATAGCAAGTCGGTTATTTTATGAAAAAATGTAATAAAAAAAACAGTTATTAAAACATAGTGTGAAATTCAATTTGCTGTAGTTTAATGATAAAAAAGCACATATGAATTTTGTATGTGCTCGTTTCTTTTATTCTAGCAATATTTATAATAAATCTAGGTTTGTTGTTTTTAATGTGTGTGTTTAATATTTTTTCACACACAACGCAACCACACACATACATACGAGTACACACACTAACATATACGTATGTATGTCACTACACTTTTTCTGCGAGTTGAAATATTTTGTATTTAAAACTTGTGTTATGCAAGCGCTGCTAGTATAATGAAATATAAAAAAATTATTTGAATTGCATAACCAATCCACGCACACTACACACTCACACACACACAACTTGGTCACTTGGAATTTGCAAACTGAGCAGCACTATAACCTATTCTTTGGGAAATTGCAGAACACCGCCCAAGCGCTACGAATCACTTGTCTTATTTCTGGCATAAGAACCATAGAAAGCATGAATGTCAAAAATACTACAGTCGTACAAGTACATATATTTTTAATAGCTAATATTTTGAGAGATTTTTCATAATTTTGGAAAAGTATTTAATAATCAACTCATCATGGTTTCGATAAAAATTCATCTGTTTACCAAGTCTACAAAACATGATTTAAATTTTGCCTCTTATACTACCCAAAAGAATCTTCTTGATTGACTTTCTGAGCAATAGTAATGTGTTTACGTGCCTAGACACGTATCTGTATGACGAAAGGTCCTATATATTACTAGCCATTACTTCACTCAATATATTTTCTCAACTGAAACCTATAACTTTGATACAACTTCAACGAAACAGCTTG